ATTTTCCCAGGCGGCTTTACCTCCAAGTACATCATCAACTTCTTTCAATTGTGGGAATTTTCTATTAGAAATCTATTAATTAAATTAATATCATTAATATTATTCTATTTATGATCATCATCRATGCTGAATGTCATCAGCATCATCAAGCCTCCTCTTCAATCCACTCCTTKTTCTTTTCACTCTGTTTRGAGTTTCCTGTGCTAGATAAACAGAAACTGCACTGGAAACCATCAGCATTGACTATGTGTTGAAAGTCCCAGTCTCCAATGGCCAAATAACAAGTGGCAACAAATTAGAGTAATCATTATCAATGTCATCATCATCATCATCATCTACTGTAAAATACTCTTAATTCTTCCAGTACTTAGTATGTAGCTATTAAGTGCAATAAATAAAGAGCAATTCAAGACATTTGTCCCATATATGTAACTCCACACTGCAGTTGTAAGCTTCAATGGGTTACCTGTGGTCAAAGTTAATAAACCCACCTTTTTCGTAATATTGTACACATAAGGACAAGTTTGACATGCAAATCTGTACGAAGAAGGACCAGCGCCTTCTTCAACTATCAGGACATTGGCGCAAGTTGGGCAGAACAGCAGCATTTTATCATAATCGCCAACGCATTCTTTATAACGTTTCCCACTGAAAATCTAATATGAGAAAGCAGTACAATTGGTCTGCGGCTAGACAGGAAGCCCACTTTTAGAAACATTTAGAGGCTAGAATTTTAATGTTTTTTTAATTTGACTTTGAAATAAAAAGGGTTTCCTAGAATTCCATTTAATTTAAAAAATGGACTATATAAATTTTGATTTTTAAAAATGTAGTAAATTGAATTTTTTTATGATGACGAATATTGGGAACATTTGTGGGGTTCCTGTGTAATATGTTTGTAAAGATGGCGGACAGTTTCACGACGGTACATTTCAAAGTTTTCGTCTTTGTTTTGCCAAGATAATGTAGCTRCGTTGACATAGAAAGTTGAAATAGAAAGGGAGTCTCGTAAAAATGGTTAAAGAACAGTTTAGAGAAGCTGGTGTCACCAAAAAGATGTAAATATACAAGTTTCTTTGTCAATTCCTCCACGATGTTTTTGTCGTGTGCGCGCGCGTGGGTCATGGTCGTGGTGGGAAGTACCTATTTTAWTAGTTTAATTATGATGACTKCTCTGATGCACCTTATTTTGATAATTTGATATTTATTCTTATCATTATTATTGAAAAACGTTAGATATTTTCATGTAGAATGAGGCATGCCATTACAATTATTAGTAATTTATTAATATATTTGAGCTTATTAGTCTATTAACGTTATACATCAATYCATTTTTTTGCAGAAGTCATGTCAACTTTGGCATGTTCTCACCAGAGGAAATGCAGCAATACTCMCATCTACARTGCGTCAGCAAAAACCTGTATTGCCAGGACAATTCACGCAAACCTGTCCCMTATGGTGTGCTTGATGCCCAAATGGTAAATTGTTCATTATTTCTAAATGGCTTCTGGCTTCATTAATCACTTCCAATGCATAAAACTTATAATTTACAATTTTCTCTCTAACCATCCCCGTTTTATGAGACTAAATGTCGTAATAGGCGATATGCATTATGACGTCATTTACTACAACTACCAGAATGCTTTGCCAACTTTCTTTTGTAATGCAATCAGTGCCAATTGTTTTATTAATCTTCAAGGGGATTAAAAATCTGAATAACAATGAAAATGCGCAAGGCTCTCTGGTAGTTGTAGTAAAGTTACGCCATAATGCAAATTCCAAGGGAATTTAAAATCTGAATAACAATGAAAATGCGCAAGGCTCTCTGGTAGTTGTAGTAAAGTTACATCATAATGCAAACAGCCTATGGAAAGTTGAACTCAAGGCTTGCAGCTTGGCATTCTTTGCTGATGCAGGGGTGCCCCTTTAGCTTGCAGGGCCACATGGAATCTGTATTTGYYGCACGCACTAAGTCGCTTTACTTCATTTGATGAKTTGAAAGTGTRTTGAACTGACAGTTCAATGCTGGTACAACCTYCCCCTGATTATWARATMAGCAAAAAATCAAAACAAAAACAAAAAAACCTCCTCCATCCTTATGTTGTTCAGGGTACATGCTCTAAAGACAGAAGCTGTGAGACTTGTGGTAAAGGATTGGCTGACTGTGTTGGTCACTATGGATACATTGATCTTGAGCTGCCTGTCTTCCATGTGGGACATTTTAGATCTACTATTGTAACCCTACAATGTATATGTAAGGTAGGATA